TAATAAATAAGCAAGTTGTAACTGTACAATTTATGTATAGTACTTTTATGATAACTTATTTTTTAAACAACTATTTTTTTCTATTACGACTTCATTATGTAAATAAAAATTATATAAATATTAATAATTTTTTTCAGTAATGAAAACCATTATTTCAATATCCAAAGTTTTCAAGAATGGTAAAATTTTAAAGTTACTAAATTTTATGTTGATCATATAGCTATCAATGCACTTTTCAATAAAGTATTATGAAATTACTTTAATATATAAATGAATAATGTATTTATATATTAAAATTTTAATAAACATAACATTAATATACATTTTTGATATACATAAATGAATATGTATTTTAAGCACATTTTTTTCAGTTTTAAAGTTTTACAAAAATATATATGTTTTTCGGTTTCAATGAAACATATATATTTCGAATGAATACGCGTGTTTTATTTAAATATTTTAATAAAATATATATATTTATTAAAAAAAGAAAGCTTAATACAAGTACAAGTTCGATTTTTCCACAAACATCCACATCATATATATATATATATATATATATATAGTGAAATATTTGTTGTTAACATTAAAAAATCATTCATCTTAATTTAATTTGTATAATGTCATTTTAAAACTATTAACTATTGTAATCCTTTTTGATTGTATTATCCTTCAAATATGTTGATTTGTATGAGATGCCTTTTAATAAGTGCATTCAAAGTATAATCAACTTCCAATTGTCTTGATATTTGTATGATTATATTTAATTATATTGATTAGCATAATAGTCTTTCAACCAATTATTACTCAACTACCTGTTTTCAATCGTAAAAGATGGGATGTATTACTCCAAGCGTATTTGTTCTCCTCTTTAAAAAATTTTTGAAATCTATGTTTAATGTATGCAACTGACAATCATTATGTAGCCACAGTTATGACTATATACATTGATCTAGATGAAGAGCTTTTCTTAAGTTAATGTACATAATCACTCCATAACTGGTACGTCCATTACTATTATGATAATCTCAACAATACCAAACATTTTGTTACTCACTTTGGTAAATTTTTCCGATATTTTTTGTGTGTATAGACCTTAAATTCTACTTATTAGACATAGTTATCGAAACTCTCACTTCTGGTGCAACTTAGATAACTCTGAATCTGCTAATAAATCGCCCCCCCCATCAGTGATGAACGACTCAAGAGTCCTATATTTACAGAAGGTGTATAATATATGGGGGGCCTGATGGCCAAGTGACTAGTTCTCTGACGCTCGGTGCCACAGGTTAAGCTGTAGGTCCCATTAAGGTCCAGGTTAATCCACGTTAAGCTGTAGGTCCTGGTCTACTTAGCCTAAAAGGGTGCACAAAATGATCGCAGAACGACAAACCAAACCTTTAACTTGCACTAAACAGAACATATACCAAATAAATTTTTCCCGTTAGCTATTCAAAGGCAGGGGCTTTTTCTATCGCTTTTCTTTTCTTTCCCTTTTAGGGATCTCTTATTCTATAAGGCATAACAACGATATTTTTTTGATGGGAAGTGAAAGAAAGCTTTTTGTATAGTTAGACAATGGGAGATAATCCCGAAAATTTCATCTGTTGATGCGCTGCAGTGAATAGCAACGCATAGAATCTTACATATTAGCCTGCGCGCGTTAATTATGGAAGCCATAAATTGGTGCTTCTAATTAGTTAGCTATGTAAACTATTTTCTATATTAAAAGACATCAAATAACAAATGTGAGGAAGAAAGAAAAAAAACTAAAAGAAAATATTACAAGGCTTTTTTTTTCTTCCGACTCGTATTTATTTCGAAAAATAAGAACTTCATTTCAGAATCTGAAATTTTTTAACTGCACAATTTTTGTTAATATTGTTAGCACTTGTATTGAATAGATCAGGGGTAGGCAACCCAAATGATCTTGCGGGCCACTTTGGAAAGCACCCTAACTCCGCTGGCCGCATATAAAATTATATATCCCCCTATTAGATTCAGACCCACTATAGACAGTTTTGTGGAGTGAAAAATGGAAACATAATAAGTTATTATTTTTGTGTTTACTTTTATTTTTACATGTAAACATAGATAAGATAATGATAATGATACTAAACGCACATTGTAAAGAAATATATAACACTAAAAATGAAATATAAAACAAATATATATATATATATATGAAATAAAAAAAAATCATAAAAAAATATTTAGTTTACTAGTGCGTTATTTATTTCTCCACTCTTTCACTTAGCTTTTGCAAATCGATCTCAATTTGGATATTTACACATCGTAATGGGTGTTGCAGGTTAGCGTTCATTATGTTTGGTCAATTTCATTTTAGAAAAAAAAACGATTCGTAGGTGTAAGTTAACCAAAAGCGGTAACAAATTCAATTAAGAGTCTGGTTTGCTCCGATATCAACAATCAACTGTGCATATCTAGGGATGGTCACTTAAAGTGAAACATAAAATCTGTTATATGTTCCCAGATACGCGCGCATCATGAGTTCGCAGACTATAATTTAATTATTCAGCCAACTCAGAACTGTAAACTCATAAATAAAATATTCAATATCTGTCCTGTATTCGCAAGAATAGTATTTTATAATCAAAGTTAATGTTTTCTCATCATTTCGACAGTTCATTTTTGAATAGAGGGATGCACACATAATATACTTTTTTTTAATACATTGGTTGTCACTACTTTGGCCATTCTAAAATAAATATATTTTGTAAAAGTGTGATAAATCTCACGGGCCGCAAACGCTTTTTGTTCAACATAAATATTTATACAAATTACAAAAAATATTAAGCACCGAAATCAAACCCAAATTTATGTCGTCATTTTTCGAAAGTCTTTTTATTTAGTCTTTTCAAAAATATAAGGAAAGTGTGCTCCATAAAAATGGCGTTTATCTTCGAGCAATAAAAACCCTTCTGCTGTCTGCGTGAATTATTTCGGGATTTTTCTGTCCTGAGAGAAATGAAGTTTTAATCTTTGGTATCGTGCATCGCGTCCGTCACATAAAAATGAGCAACTCGCGGAGTGAATCACAATTCATTTCAACGAATAATAAAACAGAGTGTGTTTTGCAGACGATTTGTTTCCCGATAAAAAAAATAAAGCTGTCATTGCAGACGACATTTATCTGTTCTTTGCTTTACGATCGTTTGGTCCAATCGAATTATCTTAAAAACCATTCGAAAACGTTTAATTTTCAATTTGCATTTTGTAGGTATTTAAGATATTATTTTCTGTCTAGAATAATAATCTATTGAATACAAGACAAATGCATACTGTAGTATTCAAATTTTATCCTTTTCGAATGTCTGTTAATAGATCTTCATTTTTTTACTTATCAGTGTCATCAATTAAATAGCTTTCCTGTAGAATAAACAGGTTTTTGTAGGGATTAAAATTACTCGCTACTTTTGAAATTATATGCATTGTAAAGAGAGAGAGATTGTGTATGAATAAGTGATGTTATTTGTTATAACTGATTAAATATAGTGTATTTTATTTTTCAAATGGTGGAGAAAAGGTTATTTAAATGTTGATCTTTATTTAATTTTGATGGATAAAAGGAAAAGTGGATCAATTTATGCAGCTAGAAGGGAAACTTAAGCAATTCTATTTAATTAATACAGAATTAATAATTAAAGGGGGAACAATTAAAAAGGATATTGGTTTTATAAGTGATATTCATATGTATTTATTTGAGCGTCTAAATGATTTTTATGCCTACACTAATAAAATCGTTGTTAAAATTTTGTTTTTGAATCGAAAGTTAAATTTTACGCAGTTTATTTCTTTGATATTCTTAAAAAATTTCAAATAAATCTTTGGCAACTTCCATCAGGAATATTGCAACTGGAATCCTACAGAAGATTTGAATTTCGTTTTTTTTTCTTTTCGTCATATTCATTAACGACATCTCAAAGAAAACATATCCCGGCGGTGGCATGGATGCTTGCTAGTGGTTCGGAAACCACGTTAAACTGTAGGTCCTGGTCTAATTAGCCTAAAGTGTTCACAAAATGACCCTAGAGCGACAAACCAAACCCCCAAACACCAACTTAAAATTTTTTTTTTTTCTTTTTGTTCCAGTGCAGCTGGCAAACACTTAGACAGCTTGGTCTTGAATGCCTTAAGGCAAGCGCTGCACAGACGTTACTCACTTTGCATTATCCAAGGGCGCGTGTAACTTGAAGATACGGACGCGGAGTCACAATGCCCCCGCAACGCTCTACGATCCTATTAGGACCGGGACCTACGGCTTAAAGTGGTTCCGAACCACTAGAAACATCCATGGCACCGCCGGGACTCGAACCCCAAACCTGTGGTACGGAGCGCCAGAGCGCTAGCCACTCGGCCATTCAGGCCCTGACAAAAAATAGAATTCTCTATTATATTTCTATTGCGATCTTCCAAACTTGCAATCGTAGTTTCAGAAAAAAAAAATCACATTTAATGTATGCAAAACATTAAATCGTCATATTTTAAAAAGAAACATTAAAAAAAAAAAAAAAAAAAAAAATATCAGTTTTAATAATAAGAAAATAATACCCTGCAAATCAGAAGCTAAATATCTAGGAATTATTTTGAACTCAAGGTCTGCCTTACAGGCTCTTAATAAAGGTTTCTCAAATATGATCTCGAACATTATATCTCTTTAAGAACAAATCCACTGCTTGCACGGGATGTGTTTCCTGCGATGGATCCCCGCTCATGAGGATTTGGGGTTTAATGAAATTGCAGATTTTGTGGCGAAGAATGCCAGAAGTCTGGTTACAGACTGGCATTCCTACTTCCCTTGCAGATGCAAATGCCTTTGCAAAATCTATACATATGATTCCTTCTAAGTGATGGAGGTAGAAGGTAGAAGTTGTAGTTGGTAGAAGTTGGCCAACCCAAATGATCTTGTGGACCACTTTGGAAATGCATCCTAATTCTGCGGGCCGTATATAAAATAATATACTGTCCCCATATTAAATTTAGATCACCGAAGTCAAGCATCATTGGGAGCGGTCAGTACTTGGGTGGGTGACCACCTGGGAACACCGCGTGCCGTTGGCATTCACAAATTTGAGACCTGAATGGCCGAGTGTCTGGCGCTCGGTGCCACAAGTTTCGGGTTCGAGTCCCGGCGGTGCCATGGGTATTTGTAGTGGTTCGGAATCCACTTAAAGCCGTAGGTCCCTGTCTCCTATCACTGTCAGAGCGTCACGAAGCCAAAGTCAGACTTCTACCTACGGGTGCTCCATCACAACAGAAGCTGCTTCCTTCCCCTTCAATCAAGAGTGGGCTCGTAGGCTTGGCCAGCCAAGTGGGATGAGAAACAACAAACATTTTTTTTTTCTTTCTAATGCAGCTGGCAAACACAGACAGCTTGGTCTTGGATGCCTTAAGGCAAGTGCTGCACAGACGTTACTCACTTTGCATTACTCAGGGGGCGCGTGTCACTTGAAGATAAGCCACGGACGCAGAGTAACAATGCCCCCGCAACACTCTACGATCCTATTAGACCGGGACCTACTTTTTAAAGTGGATTCCGAACCACTACAAACAACCATGGCACCGTCGGGATTCGAACCCGAAACCTGCGGCCACTCGGCCATTCGGGTCCTAGAAACAACAAACAAAAACAGAATCGATATAGACAATCTTTTGGAGTGAAAAATTTAAACATGAGTTATTATTTTTTAATATAATGCATTTCTTTAATGCATTGTTTTTCACTCCTTTGGCCGTGATAAAATAAATATATTTTGTAAAAGTGTGATACATCTGACGGGCCTGTAAAAATATTCAAAGGCGGGCCTGCGTTAACGAAAATTGGAAGGTAAAGATATCGATTCATATTTTGATTAAGGATGAGATTAACTTTAAAAATTTCAGACAGGGATAAAAACTGACTTTCCCCCTGCCTTTTCTGTTTTGCGCGGGTTTTTCCCCATCTTGATTCTGACAGCATTCTTTTTTGTTTTCCCCTTCAAGGTGGGGTCACTCCCCCAAATCCCTAATCCTCAGAGAGGGGTGCATATCATTTGTATTCCGTTGCCAGAACCCGAAAGGGAGGGGGAGGAGAGAAATCGTCTTTTTTTAACCTCCCTCTTGCTGACCGTGAGAACGATCGTTACGTTCATGCGTGCGTGTTAGAATTTTTTTTTTTTTTTTTTTTTTTTTTTTTCTTCTGCCTGGTTCATGCGTCAGTGTGAGCGTGTGCGTGCTCTCTCATAGGGCCGAGCGTTGTTCTTCTTTTAGGGGACCGCAGGCTATGCTCTTCACATTTCTCAAGGCCTTACTTTTTCCGAAAGTGGAAGCTGCTGCTTTCTTCAAGGTTTTTTTGCTCTTTTTCTTTCTTCTTTCCTTGCAATTGTTTGTTAATTTTTTAAATTTTTTTTTTCTCATGATGATTCTGTGCAGTGAGACGAAAATAATGTGTAACAGAGAATAATGAAATAATGATGTCACCAATCCAGAAACTGTCTGTCCTTTATTGTAATGCATTATTTCAGCGGCGTGTTCTCACTTGCGTATCGGTTTCTTTATGGTGGCATTTATTAAGTTCTTATTAATTGAGTTTGTCAGTAACCGAGAGTATGCTTTTTTTTTTCTTCAAATAATTATTTACCAAAAGTTCAAAGCCCATATAGTTGCCGAAATTTAAAAGAAAAAAAAAATTTCCTGTAACGCTTAAACTTGCCGCTATGAGTGCGATAATGTCGCCAAGCAAATAAAACAGGTGGAATTTTGTCCGAATGAAATCTCCGTAAAGTGAAACTTTTTTTCCCTAATGCATCTGGTAATACAGTCAGTTATCTTTATGCCATGAGCAAGGGCTGCACCGATGTTAATCATTTAATCACGTTTCCAGGGAGAACGCGTAGCTTGATGCTATGGGCGCGAGTATCACCACACCCACAACGCTCTACGATCCTATTCGACCGGGACGTACAGTTTAAAGTAGATTCCAAATATCCATGGCACCGCCGGGACACGAACACCAAACCCTGTGGTACCGAGTGTCAAAGCGCAAGACCCTCTTCAAATAATTATTTACCAAAAGTTCAAAGCCCATATAGTTGCCGAAATTTAAAAGAAAAAAAATTTCCTGTAACGTTTAAACTTGCCGCCTTGAGGGCGAGAATGCCGCCAAGCAATTAAAACGGGTGGAATGTTTTCCGAATGAAATCTCCTTAGAGTAAAATTCAGACGCCAACGAGTTAGACAGTTTGAACTCCGGTAACTCTATCTGAAACTACCACATTGTTTCCATTCAGTTTTGTATGTTTCCGTTAGCTGGATGCACATTTCGCCAGCATCAGATTTTTCGTTTTGGAGACGGCAAAGGGCAAATATTACAATACAAATAACTTACAAATATTTTATGCAATTTATGTTCGTATTATTCAACAATTTAATCTTTGTTTTGCCCGACTCGTGGTTCAGTGGCAAAGCGCGCCGCTGATGAGCATGAGGGCGGAGGCTCTATCCGCTGAGGCTTTGTTGTAGATACTGTTTCTAAACACAGGGAGCCTCGATGACGTTTGGGATAGTCAGCATCTTTACATCGTGAGTCGAACTACCTGGTGGGAGTTTCCCGGATTTTCTCCCATACGATACGCAAATGCTGCCCCCCTTTCTCTTCTTCCATGAGATCACACAGGTTCTTGGACTTGGTCTAAATGCTGCTGTTTAGGATAGGAAATATATATTATATGTGTGTATGTTTATTTATTTTTTTAAATAAATATTAGTAAATAATGCTACTAATACAAACAATACTGAAAATAAAACTAAACTAATGTCATAAAGCGTAACTTAAGTTTATTAGGGGAGAATTGTAACTCACGTAAACAATTCTCCCCCTATAAACTTAAGACATTAAAACGTGTTTTATTTAGCGATGTTTAGCTATCGATCGCTTGCGCCGAACTAGCGAAAAAATAGTTACATTTTTTTTTTTTTTTTTTTTTTTTTTTGCGAGACGAGCCGATCTGTAATTTAGGTCTCGTAAATTAGTTTCAAAAAAAGTTCTCGGCTTATATGTGGAATTATACTAATTATTACCATTATGTGTATCTAATCTTATTTTCAAATGTTTGGAATTTTAAACTGAGACCATTCGCCACTATAATAACAGATGCAGCGTTATCCAGGATCCAACCTTTCGGGTGGATCCTGGATAACTACTGCTATATATCCATAGTTTTGTCACTGCAGTTTTTAGAACGATAGTTCTAAATTGATTTGGTTTGTCGCTCTACAGTCATTTTGTGCACACTTTAGGCTAATTATACCGGGACCTACAGCTTAATGTGGATTCCGGAACACACATAAATATCCATGCCACCTCCACTATTCGAACCTGAAGACTGTGGTACCAACGACCAGACCACTAGCCAATTGGCCACCGATAGTTCTAGAGGTAACATCAGAGAGATTGGAATCCTCAAGTCTAATGGGAAAACTATATATCGTATCGGATATATCGTACCCATACTCGGTATACGCTAGGAAACTTTATTAACTCAATCAAAATAATCGGGCAATTTTCTTTATTCGTCATATACAAGTTTAATTTATGGAGAATTTTTAACATTCAAATTTATTCCAAGAGAGAGAATTACTTGAATTTACGAAAGTAGTATCTTAAAAATAGAATTTTTATCCAAAACTAAAGTTTAAGTGACGTGAAAAACTGTTTTTACAATCCATTTCCCGAAATTTCTGATTAAAACGGGCACGAATTTCTTTGAGTTGTTCAAAACGAAATGAACTTTTCAGCACACTGTTTTTAAAAGGTCTTTGACACAAATTGTTTAAACTCGTTGAAGCAAACCATGTTGCATCTGTACCAATACACTTCTGCCATCGATTACAAAAAACATCTTTATTTTAGAGTAAATGTTTTGACAGCTTCGTGGTTGGCAAAGCGTTCATTCTTTAAAAGCGATTCCAAATGTTTAAAGAAGTTGTAATCAGTAAGATACAAGCCTGGTTAATAGGAAGGATGAAGCCGAAACTCGGATTACAATTCGTTCAGCTTTTATTGTGTGACTCGTGAGGTCTTGCGTTGTCATGGAGAAGAATAACGCCATTCACCAACGCTGATTCTGATGACTGCAATTTCTGATGCACAATATCAATTTGTTGACAATAATACCATGCATTAATTGTTTAACCCGTCGCTGTTGAACATTGTGGCGGCTTTTTTGTAGACACTGTTCCAAAAACGAAGAACCTCGATGGCGTTTTGGATGTTCACCATCTTGCCTTGTTACTCTTAACTAACTGATGTGAGTTTTTCCGATTTTCTCCCATACGATACGCAAATGAGGGGTAGTTCATACTAAAAGTCACTGCCCTCCTTTTTCAGTGACACAGAACCAAGGCTTCCCTTCCCCCACCACTTTCCCTCCTTAACAATACAGGTTTCGGGTTCGAGTCTCAGCGGTGGCATGGATGTCTGTTGGTGATTCGGAACCCACTTTAAAATGTAGGCCCCGGTCTGTTTAGCCTAACGTGGGCACAAGATGACTGTAGAGTGACAAACCAAATCCATGAAACCACACGGGTTCTTGGACTTCAGTCCATCCAGATGCTGCCGTCTACTAAGTGGGATAAGAAACAAAACAAACAAAAAAAGAAATATTTCGTGGGGTTTTTTTTTTTTTTTTTTTTTTATAATTGGAAAAATTCGTTCTTCAAAACGGAAGACTGTTATGAAAAAAAATCGACTATTGAAAGCGACTATTAATGTAATTAGTAAAGTAATTACATTAATAACACCACTTTCAATAATGCTACTACAATTTTTTTTCCTGAAACTAGGAAAAATTGTTTGTCTCAAAAATTCCTTTTCAGTTATATACATATATATGTGTGTATGTAAAAAATAATAAAGTAAAATAAAAAGCCAACTTAAAATGCTATTGGAGGCTACAATTTAGTTGGCGAGGTTCTTTTTTTTCCTCCTTTCACTGTCAACTGGCCAGACCGCAATCTTGTTTTTATGTTTTGCTTCTTCGGCGAGGCCCAGTTTTAACAAGTAACCGTTTTCCCAGAA